GATCATGTTTCTTTTTTTAAATACTTATTAAAATAAGCATCGTTTTTCTTACAACACATGCTTTATTCTAAGACAGGTCGTTGCTACTCTAGAAAGGATAGGTTTAATTGTACTGTCAAGATGCACAAACCTATCAGCTACGTTGATTTGTTCGCTATCCACATTATACCATTGAAGGCTGGGAAAGGGCACCTGAATATCGTCTTTTCAAAACACTGGTGGGCAATAAACAAACTGTCAAGTACTTTGTGAAGAAACCAAATTGAAAATGTACATACTACAGACTTTACTTAGCCATAAAAAGTATGTTCGATTTTATGCTAAAATATTTCTAAATATTTCACTAGTTGTATGCTAAGACGAAACGATTGAAGAAGCAACCCTGAAGATCTGTGTCAAGGTCAATAATGTGAAATAATGTGAAGATAAAATATATCATCGTAAACATGATAGATAACGTCAAAATGATCAAACATGTAGCTACCAATGTTAAACTTTACTTCGTATCACCAGAAATGTCTATTGGAAAACTAGCTTTGCACGAATTTCCCTCAAATCTTTCTAATTTATTGATTTAAACGTCTATAAAGAATGACACCCTCTGTTATATGAAGAAGCGAAGTTAGTCTTCACATTTGATAGAATCGCTTTTGTTCGCTTTTTTGTGACATTGCCATGAAAATCTTCTTTTTTTTTTTCTAAAATCTAATAGAAGAAATATTGTTGACAACTTTAATATCTTTTTAGCTGGAATTTTTTCAGTTTTTTTATTTACTTCGATTTGACAAGTAACTAGATAGATTAGATAACTAATGAGAAACTCATGAGAACAAATTTCATTAGGAAAATGCACAAACAATATGACGACCAGAGCAGTTCTCTCATAAAGCATTTCACGTATGATTTAAGGCTAATATTTTAGTACGCACACAGTTAGTGTCCAGACACACACTTCTCCCTCTGTATCGACATCCTCACGCATATACATATGTTGTTTCATCGATAATAAATGAAATACAACAGATAAGCAATATTTGTTGATTTCAGTCAATTGAAAATACAATCAATAATCAACTTTCGCTCGTTGCTATCTTTGTCCGGTGATATTTCAATGCTATTAATTTCGTTAGTCGTGTAGCGTCAAACATGAAATTATTTTGTTTTTATAGAGAGATAATTATAAATAAATATGAATAAATAATGACAATAAAAGATTAATTGATCCTAAGTGGCAGTTTGATGATGATGATGATGATGGTGGCGGCGGTGGAGGTCGTGGTAGTGGTGGTGGTTGAGGTGGTGTAGATGAGGATGATTTGTTATCTTTGAGCTTTGATAGAATAGCTACCTCAGCCAAACTCTTTTGAAGTTAATCTCTATCAAACAAGATGAATAAATACACTTACTTCTTCACTATGTATTTTTCATATTTTAAGTCAGGCATGTTGATGATATCAATAATGAACTCTTTCTAAATTCATATTTGGCTATTGGGAGATTTGTCAAATCCCCTTATGTGAAAGCGGCGGCAGCACGTTCATCTTTGGTACATTGATCATTTCTACTGATAAATTTCTCGCCGTTCGTAGTTTGTGCACTGTCGAAAATGGCCCACTGGAAACTATTTTATCGGTTACATTCTCATGTATATTCCACTTGTCGTCTACTTGTTTTATAGTCGGGATAATAATCACGAAGTTCAAAAGTGATCTTATTGTTTGCTTAAGGATATACCAGAAAAGAAGGTTAAACAAAGTTCGTGTTTTTGGGAGATCATATGGAGTCAAACCCTAGGTCACGTAATATTTGCCAAGATTTACATGCACCCTAACAGTCAATGTTTGCCTGATTGATATTATCAAAAAAAATCGCATGCAACATCGGCTTATTTATCTTTACATGATTGCCTTAACCTGAGCTTCATTGCTTTTGGCTTAATGGGTAAGCCATCATTTTTAACATTCCAATTTAAATCTTTACCCTAAAAAGAGAAGAAAAACAAAATCCTCTTACAACATATATAGGGATTCAACCGATTTCAGACTCTAAAATCCTTGATTCTTCTTCAATATTACTTCAATGGAATCAGTTTCATCAGCTTTTGATGTATCTTCCTTTCTGATTAAAAATACGATTGACTTTCATTATCACTAATATAAAGTGCCAAAGATAGCATTTATTTCAGAATAACAGTAGCACATACAATTGAAAAGATGCTTTTAGTTGTAATTGTTTGTACATACCTGATACTTTGTGAATTTCATCATTCGTGCATTCCTAATTTTGATCCTAATCATGCATTCGTTTCAAAAACCGTTATCATATGAATTGGATAATTTTTATTCACCTCTAAACAAATTTCAAAACCGGTGTATTATTTGTAAGAGTGCTTATTCTATAGGATTTAACCTGGCTTTAGTTAATTAACAGCAGTTGTATAACATGAAAGTAAAAACCAGATGCAAATGAATTATCAATCATCAATTAAAGTTTTCGTTAAAGACACTGGAACAAGGAATGCGATAATTAGGCTCACAAAGAGCAATACAAATGCAGAATGATATATACCTATGTTGTATAGATTATGCAAATGATTTTGATAAGGTTCGACACAAAGAAATGTTTGAACTGCCAGGTAAGTTTTACATATTTGGGAAAGACATTAAAATAATTTAGATTTATATAGGCGGCAAACCGCCTGCATCCGGATAGAAAATGAATTCAATAAATACACCAAAATAAGAAAAGAGCATAAGACAAAGATATGTCTCCCCCTCCCCTTCCCTCCCTCCCCTGACTTATTCAACATTTACAACGAGGTGATCATAGGAGAAATAGAAGTCCTCCCAATTAGTAGTAGTAGTAGTATTAGTATTATTATTATTATTGCTGAACATAATCTTAACAACATAAGATCTACTGATCACAAAATATGACAGCATTCACAGAAAGGAAACTGAAGGAACTAGAAGAAGTAGCAAAAGAAATCAAGAAGAAAGGACTAACTATTAATTATAAGAAGACATAATCTATGAATATCAGCAAACGGACCAGCCCAAGATGCAAACTACAAATTGGAGATGTTAAAATCAAAGAAATACAAAAATTGAAATATCTAGGAAGTGTTCTAACAGAAAACAAAAAATGTGACACCGTAATCCGAAGGCGCATGGGAATAGTGAAAGATGTTTTCCAAAAGTTAGGCAAAGTATTAAGAAACAGGAAAAATTTATTAGAAACATATAAAAGAGTACTGAAATATTATGTAATGCAAGTCCTCTTCTATGGCATTGAATGCAGGACAATCTCCCCACTGATGTAGAAGAGACTTGAGGCAAAAGAAGGATGCTGGGAATACAATGGTATACCTGTATAAGAATACCTGTGAGTAACGAGGAAAATCTAAGGGAAATATAAACAAAAAAAAGGCGGTTATATTTAGTATCAGGAAGAGACTGCTGAAATTTCTAGGATACATAATAGGGACATATTGAAGGCAAGAAGGACAGATGAATGCAGCTAGTAACTTCTCTAACGAGCTGGTATAAATGGATGGCTGAAAAGAGAGATTTAACGAAAAGACAAACCTTACTGAGAGCTACAAAGGATAGGACGTTGTAGAGAGCCATGATCACCCACGTCCTGAAGGTACACAGCGCCTAGAAGAATAAGATATGAAATACTTAACAAAACTTTGTCACTCTAAAACTAAATAAAGGAATTTACATTTTAATAATATTTTACCAGAAAGAGTAAAATCAGATTTAGACAAGAGAGTGGCACTCTCTTCTTCTATAATCTCTCTGAAGAATTATAGCGCAGATTCACAAGATAAACTCCACAAATCTTTAGTACCGCATATAATTCTTTTGATTATGAAAAAAATTATAGGTTTAATGTTTCTTCAAAGACAGGTTTTGTAAACTTTTAGCACTGCCCAGAACTTGGCAACATGGGAAACTGATAGTCGCTATGACTACAAAAGAATGGCAGTTCACAAGAGAAACTTTATGAGAAGAGACTCCAAGATTTAAGGTTTGAAGATTTAAGGCTTCCAAAATTTCCAATATCGAATTGGTTTAGAGATTTTTCCTGCTCACACTTCGGTTCGTTCACGAATTCTGGAAATTTAATTTATGCATTTCTTAAATGGTACCATATTATTGCTGGTACGCAGGATATACATTACTCCCTCATCGAAATAATTAAAAAAAAAACTAATTCTTCTGAAAGCCACCCCATTTCATGTTCACGTGTGTCTGCGAGGGTAGCGTGGGTGTGGGGTGCTTGGGGGCATGCGTAGGGGGAGGGGACGTGTGTGTGTGTGTGTGTGTGTGTGTGTGTGTGTGTGTGTGTGTGTGTGTGTGTGTGTGTGTGTGTGTTCTTTATTGCGAATATTGTTTGCTTTTCTCTCGTCCAAGCGTTACCTTTCTAAACAAAAAACGTTTCAACCGAAGCCACTACACGTTATACTCTGTAATAGAAAGTATATTTTTATCATTTAAAGGCAAATCTGTTTTCTTAAGAGCAACACTGCTGATTTTTTAAAGTTTTTTTTAAAGTTTCCTGTACATTTTGAATATTCTCTCTTTAACGCTAACTGGTGTATTAACAAGTATTTCGTAGAATCTTGTTGCTTTTGCTTTTAATGAAAACACATCCCAGATAATTTTCCTACGTTTCATCCGACATATGCATCAACACAATTTCCAAAACCGGAAATATTTTCAAAGATTCTATCCATGAGCAGTTTTATCAAACACAAACATAGAAAGTGATAGGCCACTCATTCGGTAGCTCAATAGAGTTTTAACATATTTTCGACCACTGGCCTTTCTACTATTAATATCTAACGACATTGATTGAGTGTCAGCAAAGTCATGCCACGAATATAGTCAAGTCGAAATCTCAGTTGAATGATTTCTTCTCAATGTACAAGTTACCAACAATTGATAGAGATTTGTGAGAGTAATATTTTCTCTATGTTATTTTCTCGTTAGTGACAGCAATGGATTATTGTTGTATAACTGTGGCATTCAACAGTTGTACGAATGTCCATCAAATAAGAGAAAAAAGACCTTCTTAGACTCTCTCTATCTCTCTCTATCTATCTCTCTCTATCTCTATCTCTCTTTCTATCTATCTATCTATCTATTTATATGTCTGTCTATGTGTGCGTGTACGTGTGTGTGTGAAAGAGGAATTAATTCCCTGGTGTTAGAGTGGCAAAAAGAGAACTTACCTATGTACACTGAAATCAGTATTTAATTTTTTTTTTATTAATTTATTCCTCCGTACCAAATAAGATTTCTTCTCTCACAAAGTCAACTGAGTCATAAGATATTCAATATTCTGTGATATTCTGTATAAAATGTAGTTTTTTATTTAATAAAACAAATAAAGAGAGGTGTTTGAAGAAAATAAAGGAAAATCCATTGATTATAAACTTTTGATTTGTATTTCGTTCATCATAATTTCAATTGCTTTTAATTACAACTTCTCAGACTATCACTCTACTAAAGGATACTCGTAATAAAATTATCAATGATTGACTGTGATTCATTTAATAAATGCATTCATAATAATATTACTGCTGATAGTACTAGCGTATGTAAGCAAAACTTCACATATAACAGATGTTCGGAAAATATAATAAAATAATTCCATAAGATTATATTTTAGACTATGTCACCATTGGCTTTCGTGGCTGAAGAGGATGAGCAGCTGTCGTATATATGCTTTCTAGGGAATGTAAATTCGAATCTCTCTTATTTACGATCTGTGCTAATTGCTAACGGTTGTAGAGTGACGGTCTGGTTACATTAAAAAAAGTGAATGGTTGACAATGCTTCATCGAATAATAAAATGCAATATATTATTGGTTCATTCATTGTTTAGAATCTTAATTAAAATAAATACGAGGTTAATTGAGAATTGAATAAAAAAATGTGAAGTGAAAGAAAAGTTTGCATTTTTAATTTCTTCTCTATTTCATTATTGGCGGATATTTTGTCTATTGACATTTTGCCTGTTGGTATACACGTATTAGAGGAAATAAAGTATAAATAACGAATCTGTACGTCAGGATCGAATTTTCGCTCTATGATTTGATTCTCACACTTTTCTCTGTGTCGGAATTGCTTTGTTAATGTTGCTTGATCGGAAGATGGAACTCCTCTTAACTGTTAAAACCAGCACGAAAGTGTTTGAGATTAAATTTCACTATTTTTATTCCATATATATGTTTCTTTTTCTTTTATAACTGTTCAAGTGTATGTTTGTGTGTGTGTGTGTGTGTGTGTGTGTGTGTGTGTGTGTGTGTGTGTGTGTGTGTGTGTGAAAGAGTGAGTGAGTGAGTGAGTGAGTGAGTGAGTGAGTGAGTGAGTGAGTATAAGTTTTACAATTTGTGTCTCTCCACGGCGAAGTTGATCATGACTCTCCACAACCGCCTATACTTTGTTGCTCTTAGCAATGTTTTTCGCCTATTCCTCCCAGTTCATGGTCTATCATCCATTTACACAAGATCATTAAGTATATTACTCTGGCTTCTCCTCTTCTCTATGTGTCAAATTCTCCAAAACCTCTTTTTTCTTATTATGTGTCAAAAAAATTTCAACTTTTTTTATGGTTCTAAGTATAGTACCCTTTTTGTTTCTACTTTCCTTAAAACCTCCTCGTTGCTCACATTTTCCGTTCACGGAATTCTCAGCATCCTCCTGTAGAACCATATATTTAATGCCTCAAGTCTACTCTTCATCTGTGAGGAAATTGTCCATCCATCTGGGAGGATTTTCCATAAGCTGAAAAATAATGACCGGAAAGAAGAGATTTTTTAAATTCTTTTCGTTTCTGTGGATATTGGTTCCTGCCAAGGTTGACAAAGGGTGAAACAACTTCTTTTACAGTTATTACTCACGAATCATTCATGAGCGCGCGAGATAATAAAAAAAAATTCTACTTCTAGTAAAATTCGCTCAATGTTTAATGTCCAAATGATTTAACAGCCTGTGTCAATATTATAAAACATGTCAATGCAGATTCGTACGATTTCTGTTTTCTTAGTAATGCTGACTGGCTGACTCACTCTCTAGCCTGCACACATTCACTGATTTTGATTTTGATGTTTTTCAACATGTCAAATCCACCATATAACCAACAGATAGCGTGACAAGCATACTTGCAAGTGATTAATATCAAAATTAATATGAATGTTATATGTTATTTTCTTTATTATTTTTGTCTTTTGGTGCTAACATCTTTTGAAAGTTTTTCTCGATGTCACAGAATATAGTGATGTTAGCCATATCTAAACCATTTCAAGGTAAGTTCACAAAGTGTTCCATTTAAATGCTCACCATTATTACAGTCGGAGGTAGAAATTCTATTCTTGTACACTCTTTCTATTGATATATTTCAGCTCATTGGCAGAATAATACTTTCTCTACATTAGATTATTCGTCAGGGATAGATTATTCGCTAAGTCCAACTTGACCAATGAGAACTTCATTCTTCAGTGAGTTATGAAAAGGTTGACAACATCTAATCTTGTTTCTTTGTTCGTCTCTCTCTTTTTTACTCTATCCCTCTCCCTCGTTCTGTGTATGTGTGTGTTATCGTCTCTGGTTTGTTTCAGCTGATGTATGAGCAGTGACACAATATATATATATATATATATATATATATATATATATATATATATATATATTATATATATATATATTTGTGTGAGTTGTGTGTGTGTGTGTGTGCGCATGCGCGTGTGTGTGTGTGTGTATACGTTAATACGAGAGGTACTGAAGAGTTCTCAGCCCGACGAAGAAGCCCTTCGCAAAAAATTCTATTGTTCGGACATTTGGTCAGATTTTGGTGGGAAGTAGATCGGCTGAACAAGTTTTCATCTTCACCTCGTAGACACACAGACACTCATACACACATACACACATACATACATACATATATATATATATATATATATATATATATATATATATATATATATACCTTAAGGTGAGTTAGGATCATTGACTGCTGTTGCTCGTTTGAAAGACATGTTTTGATTTTTTTATTTCGCTCTTCTGTTTCCTTTACCCAATTATCATTATTATTAGTAGTAGTAGTAGTAGTTTTAGTAATAGCAGCAGCAATAATAGTAGTCACAATGTTACTAATCTGGATTATGAGTGACTGTGAGACTCCTAAAACAAATATCACAAATACATTTTAATATCAATAAATACTGTGTAATAGAAAAAAACAATAAATAAAAATTATAATTAAATGATTATTTTTACACCTTTTAGTTTCCTTGGAGGCGAATTAAATAATAATCTGAATAGTTCCCTAACATATTACTCTATATTACTATTTCTAATCAAATTCACGCATATTTTAGTAATTTTCGATTTATTTTAATATTGTATATTGACTACATACATATGTATTTTTATTCCTGTTGCTATTATCAACATTGTAGAGCTTGACAATGTTTAAAACTGTAAATTTATGAATAAAAGCCAAAAAATGATAATAAAAAAAAAAGGAGTCGAGACAAAAATGTTATATTAAAAGGGGAATTAATATTTATAAAATTATTTAAATTATAAGAACAAATTGTTTTAATATTATTAAATATCGGTGAAAACCTCGATATTTTCTATTCTTTTAGTGATATCTTTGGTAAATTATTTAGAAAATGATCGGCTAATTATAAATACGTAGTAATTATAAACCTTTTTTTTTTTCATTAATATGATCTGACTCACTTTTATCTCAATATTGTTGGTCTCTTTAAAAAGATCATCAAATTATTTTATTCAACAATATCAAAATACATTGCAGGAAATTGTGAAACATAAATTTAGTAGAATAAATCTTTTTCTTCTTTTTTGTATAAAATGACAATTTTAATTATTAAAGGTGAACTTATATTGAAATAAATCACGGTACAATGAGACATAAAGATATTAAAAAATAATGGACAATTTTGTCTGTGACTAAACAAAATAAAAATGAAGTAGATTTATATAATATTGCTATTTGTTTGTTTGCAAAAGGGACCAATAATAATTGATGTAGAAGTATTTATTGTATATCATATTTCTTCACAAGAAATGAAATGAAACTATCATGACATTTAATATATCAAAACGATAATAAATCAGGCGCGATTAATAGTTTTTGTGAATCCATCTAAGAAAATATTAATACTTGTAAAATTCACGAAAACCCAAGGTACATATAAGAAGAGATAAACTGTGGCTGCATCAGTAAACGAATATCTCAAAAGAAAGCTAGAAGGGCAAAGAAATGAATCACATGTGTCGATTCGTTTTGCATTCAGTCACCGGCCGACTCACTGGCTTGTACTTGTACCGCCGAAAGCCCTTTAACATCCGTTCAGTCATAGCTGGAAGTCAGAGAAGGCACTAACGGTAGATCTCCGAGCTCCATCTGCCCACAAAATATCAAAAGAGTATAAATATATGAATAAAAGGCCGAACAGATAGGAATGCAAAAGAGTTAAAGAAAGGCTATGAAAACGAGGGCTTGAAAGGAAATAAGGTAAAAAGAAAAAGAGGTAAGAAATGTGAAAGAAAATAGAATAAGAAGCTGATAGGATGTTCAAATAACAGGAAAAAAAACGTGTTTTGGAGAGGAAGTGTTGTTAAAAATTTTATTAGAAGAAAGAGAAAAAAGAACGTTTTAGCCGTAATAGGCAAATGAGAAAATGCAAAAACGTTAACTCTTGCACAGAACATATGAAAGAAAGGAAGATTGATGAGGCTAGCTTTGAAATATACAGAAAAATAAGTGTCTGAGAGAGAAAATGATGGTGACTTGACAGTATTAAAAAGAAGAAAGCTATCTTTAAAGAAAGGCGAAGAAGGCGGACGAGAACATTGATGAATAGTCAGGAAGCGAGTAAGCGAAAAATTTTGATAACTGCAAATGAGAAATAAAGAAAATAACCGAAACTGAGGAAAAGACGAAAAAAAAAAAAAACTGAAGTAATGACAATTATAACAGAGAGCGTCTTGCATAATGGATGTAGGAACGTAAGACCAATGTCGATAGGTAAAAGTGAAGAAAATATAATGAAAGGAACATGGAGAAGTCGAAGCAGACACTAGAAGGATAGAGTTGGATAAAATAAGAATTGAATGACATAGAGAGTGGACAATAATAGAGAGCGAAACAGAGAAGGAAAGAAAGTATTTGCTTATTGTAGAATTTCCCTTGAACTTGCTTTTGCTTTATTATGACAGTTTTGTATTACGTGGCTGTATCCAAGATTTCTTAAAATACACGGATTCTTACACGACGTACAGAATATTTTCTTATGCCCTCCTGCTTTCTATGTTCAATTTAATAGCTTTGAGTTTGTGGCTTTCTTGATTCCTTAGTTTTTCATATACACTTATTATGTAGTGTAATGTGACGAGGGTTTTGCCTTCTTCCTCAAACACTGCACATGTATTACCTTTTTTTTTTTTCGGTATATGAAATTCTGTATATAGGGGAAACATTTGTTCTTCTAAAAATGCATTGTTAAAAAACAGTAGACATATTTTGTGTCTATTATATTTAATGATTTTTTCTAATGTACAAATATCCTGTTGCAAATATGGTTGCTGTGAGTGGATATATTTGCCAAAATTCATATTGACCTGTTCCAAATTTTAATAATATTAGACAGCTGCTTTCTATCAATATTAGAATACTTTTTAAATCTAATTAATAAAAGAGACTAAAGATTATAGAATTCTTGAATTTAAAAAAAGATTATTCCAGATTTATTTACTATTCCGAACACATATCACGTGACTTGTTACGTTAAGCGAAATTTTTTTCTTGTATTTTTTTTTTTTTTTAATAACAACGTTTTCAAAAATTACTGACACAATCGACTTCTTAAAACAGACTTAATTTTCTTTTTTCATATGCCATCATACCTGGATAAGGATTCATGTGATTTGAAACCTTGCGACGATACAACATGAATTTTGGCCAATTTATTCACACGCAACAACCACATTTGCGAAAGGATATTCGTACATTAAAAAAAAGATCATTAATATAATGGACATATGTCTATTGTTTTTATCAACACCTGTTCAATGTTTAAAGACATATTTAATAAATGTGAACAGAAATCAATGCATATTTAAAGAAACATCTATGTGCACATCTCATTTTTGCTAACGTAAGTTTTTAAAAATATTAATTATTCGCGCGCTCAGCAATGCTTGTTTCTTTTTGTATGCACATATGATTTTTTTTATTTCTTAAAATACATTTGAAACATTTAATAATACATCGCAATTATGTTTACAAGTTACAAAATATATAAAAATCAAAAGCGGAATAATTCTTGATGATATCAAGATTTATTCCGCTTTTGATGTTATTTTACAAGCAAGAGCAAACTTCAGCATTTCAGTTATTCACTTTTAGACAAAAACTGGGTTTAAAAGAGTTCCTCGAAAATCATCAATATATAAGGATGGCGGTATTATTTACCTTTCAATCGCCAAGTTCAAAAGTTTAAATGTATTCCGATATACAATTAACAGATTTAAATGTGTTTTAAATTTCTATTCTTTTTTAATTTGTCTGTTTTTACTAATGTTCACACGATACAATGTAGAAAGTAAAAGTAGGAAGCAAGAAGTGCAGTTTATGAGGATATGTAGGAAAGATAACGGTTAACCATAGATTTGAAGAGTTTTTTTCTGATATTAGACAAGGTGTTCATATTTTGATAGACAATAACCAATTGTTTACAACAGTAGAAATACCTAGAAGTTATTAATCATTTCAAGTGACGTAACCGAAGATTTTCATGACAGAAATTCTATGGACAAAAACTTTCCTATTTCGGTAGGCATGATTTTTAAAAATAAGTAAAATAAGGAATTGCTCTTTGCAGCAATTAAAAGTAAAATATAAATGCATTCACCTTGATTCACTAGATTTTCTCTTTGTTTCTCCAGAAGTTTCGGAAAGATTTTAAGCTGTGTAGTGTTTTTATTAAATGTGTTTTAAATTATATATATATCATTTCTTTTATATCTCTACATGATAAAACAAAAAACTAAAAAGGTTAATTATTTTCGTTTGCTTCAGATTACAATTCTCACTGTTTGCTTTTATGATTAGATCACCTGCAAAATGCTTAAAATGGTATCTTTTGCATGATACAAAACAAATATATCTGTCTTTCTTTATTTTTAAAATGCAAGTAATTGTCATTAAAAAAAAATACAGATTAGAGTCATTATGCAAATAAAAATACCTCAGTATTTTCCATTCATTAAATAAAAAAGATTATAATATCTATAATGTTTCCATAAAATTGATATTTACTAAACGTGACTCAGTTTTGACACAGGCCATCAGTATAGGGTGCTTGTGGCAACTAAAATATGGTTCTAGCGAGGAATGTTCATAATAGCATGGACATATTTTTGTGAGAAAGAAAGAAATTTTTAAAAAATACGGGAACTACAAATAAATTACTGCTAACATTCAGAGGGCCATGAAAGATCACCCATATTTGGAAGAGACATAGATAATTGTTTATAGATAGATAGATAGATAGATAGATAGATAGATAGATAGATAGATAGATAATCAAAACCGCTACTTCTTTGAATTGTAACAACTGAAATTATTTGTAGTCATTATATCAATATAATGGCTGGTTACACGTTTCCAACTAGCCTGTCTGCTAGGGTATTTAGCTAATCCCTGTTGAAGAAACCTGCTTAGGCACGTTTGTTTTTCAGTCTCAGAACCAACCTATAGTTCTGGGGGAGAGCGAACAGTTTGTCTTGATCAGTAGTTAAAACAAGTCCATTATGTCCATATATACCTTCGGATCTCGATGAATGATATCTTCGTTACTGGCACAACTACCGACGGCTTCTGAACCGTTCCGTCTACCCAATTTCCCTGGGCTCAGTTCTGGACCTTACGATCGCCCCCCCCCTAACTCGATATTACCCCCACCCTTGAGAAATCGACCACGGTAGGATTCAAACCCAGGCCTCATATTTTAAACGTTAGCGATCTAACTACTAGGTCACTAGCTATTTGGAAATGCACATATAGTGGGACATAATTTGGAAGACGATCTAACGTATTGTCACGTGACATGCGCCATTCTCATTTCTCTTTCAGACGTAAAGATAGCATTAACATTGTAGATTTCAATCTAACACAGGATATGACAAAGCACGCCGCCATGCTCACGGTATTAACTACAGCAATTCTAAGACGGCCATTTTGAAATTGGCAATGTCCTTCGTTTTCAAGATCAGGTATAAGCTGAATCTTTCATCATCAACGGCGACATCAACAAGTGAGGACAATCTCCGAGTAGCTCATCTTCTACGAGACCAAAAGATTAGCGGGTGGGACGATAGGTACCCACAGAAGTACTGACGCTGATGATGCATAACAAGAACAAAGACAATGCAACCGCCTACATCGCGGTGTTGGACACTGGTGATGTCATGAATCGAGAAGTAGCTATCAGAATATTGTACGTGTTCCAACAGGACTCTGCTTCCCCTCTATGCATTGTTCACGCAATCCAGGCATGACTGGCCGAGAATTTTCATGATCATGCCGCCTCCAAGACAATGTCGAATACCCTGGAATACTATGTCTGGGGCGTCGCTGAGAAGCAAACTGCCTAGAATCCCCAAAATACCAAGCACTTGTTGAAGGTCATCATTGTGAATGTGATGGCCAAAAGGAATAAGAATTTGGTCATACAGTTACTTCCAATGCCACGCAGAAGTTCTCCTCGGAGCTGAAACTGTTTTTCAAGTTGAATATGTGTGCAATTATTTTTTAAATCTACTGATATTTTAACATTGATATCTTTGCTTAATAATTTCATATTTATTTTAGAAAGAGCAGTGTAAACGATGTCAAAATATTTTAATATTTACTGCTATAATCAGAAAATGTGATTGATATTGTTGATACTTATCTATAGGAGGCTATGCTTTATATAGGGTGTGACTGGTATTTGAAAATATATCTTTAACGGTCATAAATGAAAAACAACCTAATGTAATGTTACATGGCATGTGCTAAATTTTTACATTCTCATTTTTCTCAGCCAATGGCCAACGATAACGATCTGATTTGGTCATGAAGGGTCACTTTAAATGAAAGTGGTTTAACTGAACAGCCTTTTACTGTTTTTCAAGTTGAACGTGCAATTTTTAATATACGGATTTTTCAATCTTTATCTAATATGATAATAAAATCTTCATTATAATTTTTTTCGTCTACCTGGGGAATCTTGTATGCGTATATATATATATATATATATATATATATATATATATGGGGACGTGATATATAAAATATATATATATATATATATATATATATATATATATATATATATATATATATATATATATATATATATACGTGATGAAAAGTTCTCTGTTTGAACGAGAATGGATAAAAATCATTCTTTGGTCATATTTTGTGAAGCAAGTCGGGCTAAAAACTGCTGGGGACCCGTTCGTATGTCATCTTCTGATTACCAATCAAATTGAATGTTGATGCTGTAAGGTTAAGCACAATAGAAAGACATTAATGATGTTTGATCATCAAGTATGAGGATAGACATTAAAAATGATGCAGTCTTTTGCGAGTTTTGCGATGTTATTGTTAAAGCTTATGGCTTATGGTTGAATGACCTTTGGTTTGTAAATAGTGTTGATTGGTTTGCTTGTTGAAAGTGCAGCTTGTATTCATTACATATGAGAGTATTACATTTTTAAACAACAGTGACGATGGTGAAGTTTCTAATCTGTTGCATTTGTAATGTTTGAGTTTGATCAGACTCAATTTGGTACACGAATTTAAGAGTTGATGAGTTTCAATGACACACGCACACACATTTTCTTTCTCTCGTTCGCTTTCTCTTTCTCCTCATATCCGACATGTTGACATGGTATTGATTAATCGATAATGAACCTAATATATATGAGAATTATTGCAGATGAAATTATGTTTGATATGTAGTGAATACCAGACAAAGACAGAATAGAAATGCGTACAAATGTCTATTTTAGGTACTAGCTTATTTCTGTGTTCATTTCTTTGTCTAAAAGACATATGAAGCTTAAGTATGCAATTAATGCTTTGAACATCAATATAATTATAAAGCTGCTGGAGTGTACTCTGTGTCAGTGTAATTATTATCATCAGTATTTTCATAAATATTTTGCCTCGATACTATTGAGGGGGTGCTGACAAGTTCTCAACACAATCAAAAAATGTACTTAATTGGTGAAATTTTGGCTCGAATCGAGGACTTTTCAGCAGTCTTGGGTACAGCCATGATATACACTCACTCCTCAAAAATGACTATTCTCTCATCACTGAGTTTATATTCAAATATAAAATAATGGTACGCCGAAATATTTTCATAGTGTTAGCATGCGAATAATCGTTTAGTGACAAAAATATATCGAATTTAGTAAATTAATATTTTTTTGTTTCAAGAGCAACACTAACGCTTAAATTGTTTATGTAATAAATTTATTATCAACAACAGTAAAAACTTGTTTTAGCGTAGGATGTTTTTATTTTTTCTAAAATAATGAATACTGTGAATATTGGATTTATTATTATTCATTGTTATAATATGTTTCGTCAATTTTTTAAATTAAACAATTTTTGTTTTGTAGTATTAAAGTATATTTGCTTTGCAGAGGAAGACTTTTATTGATCTTTAAATGTTTAGGAAAAACACCAGAACTGACATTGCAATTCATTTCGCCTGCAATAACGCGCAAACACACGCACACATATCAGTATGCAGATAATATTTACATTATAGGCAAACATTTATTTACATTACTTAAGTAATTATTGTTATCACTTGATTAAGAAGTTATGATGAAATACAAGGCTTTTAATACGACTTATGATTTGTTTAGCATTGTCATATTTAGAATGACGTACATTTGTTCGGATCTCTTTATAAAGAATAGAGAAAATCTTCTTTCCCTAATAGTAAAACGTTTGGGGAAAAACATTAAACATGGCTAAATTCACGGGATTTTAAAAAAAGAAAATTCACTCACCTTTCGAACACTATGTGTGTGTGTGTGCATATAATCTATACAGATTGATTATATATATATGTGTGTTGTTGTAACTTGCAAGTAGTTCTAGTTGTGTTTGCTTCCACTTCACCCTTAATAAACATGTCAGAACAAAAAGTGTCCAAATTTTCCTCCTGAAGAAAGATGTCATTTATTCAGAAATCTTTACTCAGTTTGATAGGAAATATTTATCCTACACGAAGATTTACATTAAGTCTTCCAAGATAAGAAATTGTTAAAAATGAACCTATGTTTGGAGAACGTTATTTGTTATTTATTTTTATTTGGCAAGTGTTTTCTGGAATTCAAAATGGATCTTTTTGTAAACTTTCGTATGCGTCACGAAGAATTTATTTATTCAATCTTTCAAACTGATAAAAAGAAAACGGTATTTCCATTCAAAACTGCAGAGATTAATTTGCTTCTGTGTAGACTTTGGTTGTTCTCATATTCTCATTGAAGATTCTTTGGAAATTAAAATAAATTATTTTATCTATTTGTTCAAAATGATTTTATTTAGTTCAGTATTTTTGGTCAGCAAGACATTCCGATGATTAGCCTAAACAAACTCACAAATTTAAACTGACGAGTAACTAACTGTTTTGTTTTTTTTAAATTAAGAGTCAATCTACCAAAACTTTAGTCCAAAACGTTTATATTTAATGGGCGACTAAAGAGAAAATTATATTTAATCTTTCTGTTTTATAAATATTAATTTTAAATTACATTTAAAATGACTAATAAATTTCAGAGAATTGATATTGGAATACAGCAGGAAAATTGTACTGATGAAACAAAAAAATTATCTTTTATGTTGAGATAATGAAACAAACGATTTCACAACGATGCATGGATTTTAGCAAATAAAAATTCACGAAGACATAACCAGTTAATAATCATTGATTAAATAAAATATTTCTAAACAAAACAAAAACTAACCAAATACGAAAGGTGAATACTGACAAATTATGAACGGGTATTGTTTCTGTACCAACATTCATATAGAACTTAAGTAAAATTAATCAAACATAAAATTTAACGAAATGTGCCCATCGAAAAAAGAATATTTTCCTTCTTAAAATAGACTCATAAGTTTAAAAAATAGTTTCGAAATCGAAAGTCTAACAAGCTAAATATTTTGGGTCAGAAAATGACTTTAAAGATTTTTACATACACAAAGGTAAAAGGGGAAAGTGTGTAGTCGAATAAAGAAATAATATTTTATATTCCGAAAAATAATAAACAGAAAACCACACCAATAAAGAAAGGTTTTGTCTTAATATTTTTTATCAAATGGAATAACTTCATATTCCAAGATTTCTTCAAGCAAAAAAAATTTGATGCGCATGCCCACATATACATACGACACAGAAAAGTAAGGTCTTGTACACAATCAAAAACTCTTGCAGACGAATATATCAAAAGAATAAATTGCATATCCAATTATGATAAGAGAATAAATAGTTGGAATGGCCAAAAGAAGAAACAAAGAGTGAAACGGACAGACAACGAAGAGTAA